CCATAGAAGACAGATGAACTGCAAAGTTTTACAACTGCTCTACCTAAGCGTCACTACGTGCCGGGGCAGGGCAGCTCCGATTGTAATTGGCACAACAGAGGCTCATACAACATAAGGCAAGGTAGGTACATACAATATGAGTGCACACAATATAAGCCAACATAGGTACATAAAGTATAGGTACATACAATATAAACCGACAGAGGTACATACAACATAAGTACATACAATAAAGGTATATTGGCTTATACATACATGATAAGCCAACATAGGTAGGCACAACATAAGCACATATAATATAAGCTAACAGAGATACAATATAAGTGAGGACTTGAAATAACTCTCCAGAAGATTAATTCTTGACCCTATACCCTTTGAGAAGGCGGAATCAACAGAATTACTGCGGTCACGTGATGAGCGTCTAATATGCTCCGTATAGAAGTCCAAGAGAACGGCATGGGAAGAGAAGGCGCTACCAAAGGTGTACATCCTCCTGTCCCAAAAGGTAAAAATGTAAAGATGCCAGAATAAGAGATATCCAGGAAGGTACGTGAGTAAAATATGGCCGATACAGCACAGAATGATGCTGCTAAAGCATGGAGATGTAACAAAGGCCTACGACACATAAATCAGTGGACACTGAAAACATGACACGGACACAAGTGGAAACTGCCTGGCAGTTCCACCTTATGGACCCCAAGATTCCTAGCCCAGGATGAGCCATGGGCTGATGATGCCAAAGGAAAGAAAGAACTAGGGCAATACCACATGATGATGAAAGGTAACTCCTCTCAAGATGTTAGTGCCAAAGCACTTAAGAGGAAGCCTAAGAAGCTCAGTAAGTCCGGAGAAGGAAGCAATGACTACAGGGTAACCATGGCTATAGTTCCTGACATGCAGGCGGGCTCCTCGAGTGAAAATATCCACGATGACATCAAGAGTCGTAGAAGGCCGCTGATGCGAACCTCACGAGAATGCGGAGATGGATCGGAACTGCCCTGGCCGGCAAAGACTCTGGTGAGGCTGAGGAGAAACCCTCTCCCTTTGCTTCCGAGGGGCCTGTTCCACTATGGGCCTCTCCTCTAAGTTAACATCAAATTGCCTCCTGTGATAGTAAAGGTTTTTCCCCCATCTCCCACCAACTGGTCCCAGCACTTAGCTTTTGCAAGACAACCAGACAGAATTCAATGTCAGTTGGATGTGGATGGTGAGATGTTCTCTACATCCGCTTCAGTGCTGCCAGTTCCAAACTTCAGCTACGCACCTCCTCAGGGTACCTAAGACAAAACGGAAAACGCAATTAGTGCCCACCAAAAGAGGAATCCCCAGAACTCTTACACACTGCTGCCCCAGCTCACCAGAAAACTCGATTTGACTCCACAGGCTACCTGGAGGACACCTGCAAAATGAAAAGGTACACACTTACCATGCTGCTGCATAACAGTCACCTATGAGTGACCGTGCCTAAATGCCAATTCACCCGCTCGCCTCTGTTCCTTCACACACCTAGGGCAGCGACAGCACCTGCAGAAACACAAAGCAAAAAAACCAAACCCACACTGAGATACTGTGAAAACACCACGCCCCTGACTCAAAAAGTACACCCACCCGGACCCTAAGCTTGCACCCACCTGGCTTCAGACATCTGGACCAGAGACATCTTGCAAGAGGACTGCCTACAATAAAACAAAGTAACCCAGAGTGGATGCTTAGAATTGCACCAGAAATTGAGACAAGAGCCAGAACAACAGCTTCTGTCCACTGCTTACCTGGCACACTGGGCCTTGACTGCTCCTAGCCACCTGGACTTCCTAAAACAAAAGGCAAAGAAAAATGCTGTAACAGAGAGTGACCGTTGAGGCTTCCCCTGCAAACAAACAATGACTAACCTTCTCATAGAAACCCCCTGACCACAAGGGGCACTCTGCCACAGAGTTAATGCATCTGTATCTGAAAGAAAGTTGGGAGAAAATTCAAACAGCTGTAGGATAACTTAACAGGACCAAACATCTGGTGTGACACTGGGAATACTACTTAGAACGCAACTACATGCCCCACGCCAAATCGCAAATCACCAGGACTGGTGCAATTACACCAGGCTACACAGCAGGGCAGAGCAGCGCCAGGACAAATATGTGCAGACACCTGTGACACAGGACCTAGGACGAGACAAACAAGGGGACACAACAGGGGGAGAGAGATTTCAACAAGAAGAATGTGTGCAAGGACTGAGAGACCCAAAGAACACAGAATGCACCAGAGACAAGTGACAGGACGCATACCGGAACTGCTCTGCCCTGCACACCTCAGCACTGAGACCAAAAGAAACACTTTCTCTTCAGGTGGCCTAAGGAGATGCTTCTTGCACATCCCCATCTCCAAAACAGACACAAAAACCCCTTCTAGGAAGTCCCAACCCGGCACCACGCTTTCATCCCTTCGGTGGGTCATAACCCTCCACTTATCTTGCACACATCTGGGGATGCAAATCCCTGTTGGCTGCAAACAATGACTGTCCTACTCATGGGAAGATCCTCACCCAGGACTGGTGCCGTCTGCCACCGATTTGAACTGTCTGCATCTGAAAGGAAGTTAGGACTAGTGTAAAACGGCTGCAGGACAACTTATCAGTACTAAACATCTTATGGCAATCTCCTAATACAATATAGAGCCAAACTACACCCTGCATTACCAATTTCAAGTCCCCAGGACTTGTGCTATTACAGGCTATGCAGCAGGGCAGAGCAGCTCCGGGACAAATACGTGCAGACACCCGTGACACACAACATGACAAACGAGGGGACAGGACAGAGAGAGCTGCTTTTGAGGAGAAGAAAGGACTGAGAGACCCAAAGAACACAGAATGCACCAGAGACAAGTGACAGGACACACACCAGAACTGCTCTGCCCTGCGCACCTCAGCACTGTGATCAAAACAGACGCTTTCCCTTCAGGTGGCCTAAGGAGACGCTTCTTGCACATCCCCATCTCCAAAACAGACAGAAAAACCCCTTCTAGGAAGTCCCAACCCGGCAGCCCGCTTTCATCCCTTCTGTGGGTCACAACCCTCCACTTATCTTGCACACATCTGGGGATGCAAATCCCTGTTGCCTGCAGAAGAAGGCCGTCTCCCTGTCTGGTAAGTCCCAGCTGCCACCTCTTGGTCTGCCAAGAGAAAGAAAACCAAACATCAGTGCACAGTCTTAACAGCACTTCGGCCAAAACCTGATAATTGTGCTACTCACCATTCTCCTTAGAATGCCCGGGTTCTTGGCCTGCATGCTTCGGGCGTGCTTGGATTCTGATGCTGTCATCGCAGGGTACACCTAGGTTAAGTGAACACAAGGTGACAAGGCATTGCTGAAACATGAGTGGACTCCCACTCCTCCTCCCTACCTCCCCGACTCACTGCAACTCCTCGGCCATTCCGCCGGACTACCAGGATGGGACCTTGAAATGCAAAATTGGAAGGTCCATCACAGGGTCCTGTAATGCTTCCAGCGAGATCAAAAGTGCATGAAACCTGATCCAGCAGCCAGTGGGTTACAGAGGTATGCGTACTCTGAGTCAATTCCCTAAAGCACAAAAACAAGAATGGATGCTCAGAGTTGCATCAAAAATTGAGACCTGAGCAAAAACAACTGCTTCTGTCCACTGCTCACCTTGGACATTGGCCTTGACTGCTGCTATCTGCTTAGACCTTCTAAAAATAAAGGCAAAAAACACTGCAGTAACAGAGCCACCATTTAGGCTTCCCCTGCAACTGCAAACAATGACTGTCCTACTCATGGGAAGATCCTCACCCAGGACTGGTGCCGTCTGCCACCGATTTGAACTGTCTGCATCTGAAAGGAAGTTAGGACTAGTGTAAAACGGCTGCAGGACAACTTATCAGTACTAAACATCTTATGGCAATCTCCTAATACAATATAGAGCCAAACTACACCCTGCATTACCAATTTCAAGTCCCCAGGACTTGTGCTATTACAGGCTATGCAGCAGGGCAGAGCAGCTCCGGGACAAATACGTGCAGACACCCGTGACACACAACATGACAAACGAGGGGACAGGACAGAGAGAGCTGCTTTTGAGGAGAAGAAAGGACTGAGAGACCCAAAGAACACAGAATGCACCAGAGACAAGTGACAGGACACACACCAGAACTGCTCTGCCCTGCGCACCTCAGCACTGTGATCAAAACAGACGCTTTCCCTTCAGGCGGCCTAAGGAGATGCTTCTTGCACATCCCCATCTCCAAAACAGACACAAAAACCCCTTCTAGGAAGTCCCAACCCGGCAGCCCGCTTTCATCCCTTCTGTGGGTCACAACCCTCCACTTATCTTGCACACATCTGGGGATGCAAATCCCTGTTGGCTGCAGAAGAAGGCCGTCTCCCTGTCTGGTAAGTCCCAGCTGCCACCTCTTGGTCTGCCAAGAGAAAGAAAACCAAACATCAGTGCACAGTCTTAACAGCACTTCGGCCAAAACCTGATAATTGTGCTACTCACCATTCTCCTTAGAATGCCCGGGTTCTTGGCCTGCATGCTTCGGGCGTGCTTGGATTCTGATGCTTTCATCGCAGGGTACACCTAGGTTAGGTGGAGACAAGGTGACATGGCATTGCTGAAACATGAGTGGACTCCTACTCCTCCTCCCTACCTCCCCAACTCACTGCAACTCCACGGCCATTCCGCCGGACTACCAGGATGGGACCTTGAAATGCAAAATTGGAAGGTCCATCACAGGGTCCTGTAATGCTTCCAGCGAGATCACAAGTGCATGAAACCTGGTCCAGCAGCCAGTGGGTTACAGAGGTATGCGTACTCTCAGTCAATTCCCTAAAGCACAAAAACAAGAATGGATGCTCAGAGTTGCATCAAAAATTGAGACCTGAGCAAAAGCAACTGCTTCTGTCCACTGCTCACCTTGGACATTGGCCTTGACTGCTGCTATCTGCTTGGACCTTCTAAAAATAAAGGCAAAAAACACTGCAGTAACAGAGCCACCATTTAGGCTTCCCCTGCAACTGCAAACAATGACTGTCCTACTCATGGGAAGATCCTCACCCAGGACTGGTGCCGTCTGCCACCGATTTGAACTGTCTGCATCTGAAAGGAAGTTAGGACTAGTGTAAAACGGCTGCAGGACAACTTATCAGTACTAAACATCTTATGGCAATCTCCTAATACAATATAGAGCCAAACTACACCCTGCATTACCAATTTCAAGTCCCCAGGACTTGTGCTATTACAGGCTATGCAGCAGGGCAGAGCAGCTCCGGGACAAATATGTGCAGACACCCGTGACACACAACATGACAAACGAGGGGACAGGACAGGGAGAGAGAGCTTTTGATGAGAAGAAAGGACTGAGAGACCCAAAGAACACAGAGTGCACCCGAGACAAGTGACAGGACACACATCGGAACTGCTCTGCCCTGAGCAACTCTGCACTGTGATCAAAAGAAACCCTTCCCCTCTATGTGGCCTAAGGAGACGCTTGTTGCGCATCCCCATCTCCAAAACTAACTCAAAAACTCCTCTGGGTAGTCCCAGCCAGGCACCTCTCTTCCTTCCCCTCTGTGGGTTGTAGACCTCAACTTATCTTGCACATATCTGGGGATGCAAATCCCCATCAGGTGCAGAAGGGGGCCACTACTCCCCTCTCCAGGCTGTGGCCCCATCTTATCTTTTGGATGACTGGTGATGTGAATCCACGTTAGACATGAAATGAGTCTGCCTTGGAGGGGATCACCTGTTAACCTCTTAGTCAGCTAGAATAAAGAACAGGAAAATCAATGGATGAGTTTAGTGTTATGTGGGCCAAATCCCAGCAAGTCAGCTACTTATCCTCACCTGAGAGTGTCTGGGTGCTCAAGTCTCCAGCTTCATCCTGAGTTTAAGGTTTGGCTGTTATTATGAGTGGCACCTGGGTTAGAGAGCCAAAGTTACATGGCATTTCTGTAAGTTCAGTGGATGAGGTTGTGGGCTGTATGACACATGGCTGCCTCTGCTATGCTTGTGAAAAGCCTTTCAAATAGACACCATTTTCACCCTGCTGCTTTCAAACCCCCACCACAATAACTCCTAACTGGGTAACCTGCTCACTCTCCCTCTCCTAGTCACAATCCTCAACTCACCTGAAACCTCTATCTCAGACATCATACTTGACACAGGACAGATCCCTTTTGTATCATGATCAGTCTGCTGAAAAAATACTGTACTTGACACAACCTGGAATTACAGGAAGTTGCACTCCCCCTTAAAAAAAAATAAAAAACCCCCAGAAATTACAAAAGCACCTTACCACCCCTGAATGCACAACCCCAAATCATGAATTTAAATACTCCATGCATTCACCATTTTTTTCTTCACAGTATCTTCAAAGCCTCTGTTGCACTAGAAGCCCAAAAGCACCTGCTGAAAACAAGCTGAGAAAAGCTGAAAGAGCTGCTTCATCAAAATGAGAGGAGACCACTTACCCCTACTGATCTCAGGGAGGGAATGAAGCCCCTTGGCAAAGGCTGGGGTTAATATACCCCTGATTGGGCCCGCCTCTCATTCCCATGACACCCAGGAAAAGGGAAGGGGCAAACCCCACCGGGTATAAAAGCCCTCAGAGCAGCAACAGCTATTTGGCTCCTCTGATTTGAATGCAAGGGGAATAAAGGGCTTGACGTAGAAGAAAACTTTTCAGGGAAATGACAGCGCTTTCTTTTTTGCTACAGCTACTTGCAGCAAAAGGGCAAGAAAACTGGTAAGAAATACAACTTTGTTTCAAGGTAGTATTTCTTGATAAGTTGGGTAATTTGCTGTTAGCTTATATAATTATTCCTCAGTGCCTACCAAGTAGTATTCAACATGAGACTAAGGGCTGAGAAGAATACTAATTATATGCACGGCCTAAGTCTCCTTGGGGCTACTAATTAGGGTTACCTACGTTATAAATAAAAAAAAAAGAAAACTAATAGGCTCCAGGGCAGCATAAAGGTTTCTCTGAGATATTTAGTCCTAGGGCACAGAAAGAAGTGCCCTGAAAGGTAGTTCTAAACCCTTACAATTCTGGAAAAGCATTTTAGAAGAGGCTCCTTCAAGTGAATCCTTTAAAATGAGGAAATGGGGAAGTTGCCTCCACTGAAATGGATACAATGGCAAATAAATGGCTTCTGCCCTTTAATTTAATCCCCTAGAATATTGGGGAAAGAGAGGCTTTCCTCACTTTAAATCTCTCCAGTAATGAAGACAGAGGGATTTTCCCCTCAATTCAAACCCTTAAGAAAGTGGGATAGCTGGGCTTCCCCCTCAATTTAAGCCTTTGGACAATAAAAAGGGTTACCCTTAATTCAAACCCATAAGGAACATTGTCAAGGTTTTCCCCTTCTATTTAAACTGGAAAATAATGGAAAATGGAGATTCCCTATCAATTAACACCCTTAACAGCATAGAAAAGGCAGGGATTCTTTCAACTGAGACCATTAAAATTGAGACCATTAAAATTCCCCATAATTTAAGCCCCTTTTCTCTTAATAACCTCTTTCTTCTATGGGAGTGCTGTGGAAGGTCTGGGAGTTCTATGGAGGGACTGACACAATAAAAGGGGAAAGTTGAAAGCTCTCCCATGGAACCCCATGTGCTGCCCAGCCTGCTCAGGTGCTGCCCCTTGGCAAAAGGTCTCTTCCCTTGGTGTTTTCTCAAAGGGATGCTCTGTACCCAGGTGGATCAGGCTGCTCCCCAGTCCCTGCTGGATGTTCCGGCCATAGTTCCTGGAGGGAGACTTGGGACACCCCTGTTAGCCCCTCTGGATTAGCAGCTTCCTGTGCAGATGTGCCCAGGTAGCTGCACTGAAAGCAGCTGGTCACATGGGGAGCTGCTACACCCCTGCTACAGTGGGGGATGAGGTGAAGAAAGGTCCTGGGGGCTAGACCTCCCCTACGCAGCCCTTTTTCAGCCCCTTAAACAATGGAGTGCCAGACTTTCATTTCTAAGATAATGAACAATCTTTCCTCTATGTGTGCTCCTGGCCAAACAGAAATTGTGCATCCAACCAAAATTGCAAACAGTGAATGATTTCTCAGAGACCACAGCTGCCAACACCAGGAACTCTTGCTGCCCTAGGAGAGCAGCACGCCTCCAGTGAACAGACATCGACACACAAGGAGGGTGAGGTTGGTTTTACAGGGAAAAATGGCACAGGTCGGGTCACGCAGCCTGTGGCCCCGAGTGACTTTCTACACCTTCCAGTTCTGAATGGTACAGGATTTATCCTGGAGCAAAACTGCTGCCAGCAAGAATTCTGCCTGCCCTGGAAAGAACAAGCACCTCCTCCAAACAGACATCAGGAACCGTGGAGGGTGACCTATGTTTCACAGAGAAAAGGGCCAGCGATAGAGTCCACGAGCCAGGAGCCATGAAAGAAGGGCCACCCCCTGAAATTACCCAATCACTACAACAAAAATTTACTCAACAGTATCAATTCCCATGGAAGTGATGAACTGGGTCCATTGCCTCTTGCTGGTGAGCTCTCAGTATAACATGAGTGGATTCCCACATGGTGTTAGCATTACATATGCGCTGGGCTTGCTCCCATCCGAGATATTTGGTACCAGGGTGTGGGTAGAAGTGCCCTGAAGTGCAGTTTTAAGCCCTTAAAATGCTGAAAAAGACAGAGCTTCCTTCAACTGAACCCCTTAAAATGAGGAAATGGGGCAGTTGCCTCCACTTAGACTAATACAATGGCAAATAAATGGCTTCTCCCCTTTAATTTAACCCCTTAAAATACTGGGCAAAAAGGGGTGTTCCTCAGTTTAAATCTCTCCAGTGACAGAAAAAGGGGGATTTTTCCATCAATTCAAACCCTTAAAAAGGAGTGAAAGTTGGGCTTCCCTCTCAATTTAAGCCTTAGGATGATGAAAAGGGGGGAGTTACTCTTAATTTAAACCCATAAAAAATCATCATGGAAGTTTTCCCCTTCCATTTAAACTGCAAATTAATGAAAGATGGGGATTCCCTATCAATCAATACCCCAACAACATGGAAAAGGCAGGGTTTCCTTTGATTGAGACCACTAAAATTGCAGGGGAAGTGGCTTCCTCTTCAATTTGAATGCAAACAATTGTGGAAAAAGAAGCTTTTCCCCTCAATTTAAACCCCTTTCCTCCTAATAACCCCTCTCTTTTCTGGGGCCACTGGAGAGGAACTGATAAAAGGGGAAAGCTGAAACGGCGCCGGGACCCTGCATGCTGCCTAACCTGCTCAGGTGCTGCCCCTTGGCAAGAGGGCTCCTCCCTCGGCATTTTCTCGAAGGGATGCTCCGTGCCCAGGTGCTCTGCAGCCTGCTCCGCAGCTCCTGCTGGATGCTCCAGCCGTCATTCCTGGAGGGACGCTAGGGATGTCTCCGTTGCCTGCTCTGGACTAACAGTTCCCTGTGCAGGTGTGCCCGGGTTTATCCTCTGAAATCAGCCTCTGGCAGGGGTTGCCACCTCCTCATCCTCATTGGTCACACCTGGAGCTGCTACACCTTCTCTCAGGAAATGCTCCCTAGTATTTACATCTTTCAAGGTTGTTGAAAGAGAAGTTGAACACCCTGCTACCTTTTCATGCCCTTACATAGTGAAGCAATCTAATATTTTACAATAAAATTTACTGGCTTCTGGTTTATGAACCATAGATAGTATTTGTTATGATTTTATGCTGCTATATACAGGTCGGTGTCCTGAGGGTAGTTCCAGCTCTCCCTTGACCCGCTCCCCTGTGCTGTGTAGCTGTGCAAGGCTGCTGATGCATTTGTCTTGAAGAAAAAGAGTGACAATCGTGTGCTGAAACGTAGTACCGATTCCCTTTGCTGTTCAATATTTTACACTGTTTATTTTGAACAACGGCTTTCTGATTGTTTCTAAATCAAACTATATGTATTTTAGGCTTTAATTCTTTTTTAATGGTGCCTTATCTCAGGGGAGCTCTGCAGGACTGGGTAAGTCTGATGACTGGAGAGCATGAATAATATTTGCATAGCCTCTGTGTTTTCAGTGCTCAGTCAGTGACAACTAATGTATGTAGGATTTGTAATTTTCTCTTCTTCCCCCCCCCCCCCCTCCCCCTTCCCGCCGCGGTCCCTTGTCCCGACCCTTTGTTCCCTTCTCTCGCCCTCTCACCATGCGGTCCGGTCGCTGTCCCCCGCCCCTCCGCCTTTCCCCTCACCACGCGGGCCGTCCCTGCCCCCCCCCCCCCCCCCCCCGCGGCTGTCCCGTCGCGGTCTCCGGGGTTTCCCTGCCCCTGTCCCCTGCCTCCCGTCCCATTGGCCGCGGCTCAGGTTCCCCCCCGCCCCCGGCATGGAGTATAACCGAGAGCCCCGCTCGCTCCCCCGGTGTCTCGGGGAACACGCTCCCACAATAAACAGGTGCTTGCACCCGAGCTCCGTGTCGCCATTTCGTCTGTTCCCGCGTGGACTGAGCCTCGCAGAGTCGAGGGGAAAGCGGCCGCCGTCTACTTCCCCCCCCCCCCCTCGCCGTGCGTGCCCGCAGGCGTCCGCCCGGAGCCGATCTCGCACGGCAACAAATGTAAATGACAAAAGCTGAGGAAATGCAAAAATTCTGCTGTCATTGTGCACTTTTTAGTTTAGGTACCGAAGTGAAATGTGCAGTGATTTGAAGAAAGCTCAGCCCAATTGGAGCTAAACATCCTTTAATTAACCTTTGCAGGATGGAGGTGTTCTGAAGAGGGAGCCTCTTAATTAAAAAGTTATTCAAGAAGATCTTGGAGCATGGCAGCCAGAAATGCCTGAAGACTATACAGAAACCACAAGCACCTGTTAAAGGCACAAGTATATGAATATTTTCATTTTAGAATAAAAATGGCTGGTTAACAAACACCCTGAAGAGTCGGCCACCCACATTCTTCCTCCAAAGAATCGCAGATTCTTAGCTCCTGGGCTCTGAGATGGAATTACGGTATGAGGAGGTTTGGAAGAGCTGAAAAGTCACCATAGCAACCTCCTGGCAAAAATCTTCACTCATCCAATGTAAAGCAAAATTTATTTTTATCTGAATGGCCTTAGTGAGCCTGAATGTGGTCTGTGTTGGCTCTCTGCTTCATTTCATTGTACTCCTCAGACAGAGTCTTTTCCTGCTCTAAGTCCTAAAGGTCATTTTCTAAATCTTCTCATGAAAGTTTTGACTAGAAATGGATGCCGGATACTGGCTATTCGATCAGGGTCTGCCTCTGAGTTAAAGATGAGATGCCCTCTCCTGGCATTCCAGACCCTTTGCAGTCATGTCCAGTGAAGCTGATGAACAACTTGTGCTGAATACTTTCAAACACAAAGGAAACTGAAAAATGTGGAAACAGATAAAAGAAGACAAAGGAAATTAAAATGATTGAAAAGTCCTGTGCAGTCCCTGTTCAGAAGAAAGGCTCTGCATGCAAGAGTTTATGCAAATTATAGAAGCTATTCAGCATGGATTTGGTGAGACGCAGCACTTGCCGAGGAATTTCCATGGATGTGACCTGCCCAAAATAGGAGACTGAGACTTGCTGGTTGAGTCTGGAGGATGACAGGAGGGTGCTCAGCTGTGGCTACTTGACTGTGAGAGGGTCTGAGCAGGTGCACAGGGGGAAGGCAAAGCAGGAGAAGAGCTCCTGAGATATAAAGCAGTTTGGCTAAGGGGTGCTCTCAGTTTTTTGAGGAAAAACTTGAAGTCTGGGGTGTTTAAATAGGGGTAACCAAGAGGCGGAGACAGATTTGTGAGCAATAAAGTGACGATGGATGGGTAGGTTATGTAGGAAAGCCGAAGGGAGGGATGCTTCTATTCCATTTGGAGCCCAGAGTGCCTGGAGGAGCAAGGTGCGGTGTTCAGCAGCCTTGGGAAGTTCGGGGTTTCTCCGGTTTCTCTTACATCCTTCTCAAATCTTGTAAGGGAAGTGAACAAACAGGAGCTGCTGTCAGAACTTTTAAGATCGTACTCCTGCAGGAGTATCCTCCAGGGCCAATTTTGTCCCTCTGGAGCTAACTCACAAAAATCAGAAGGTGATCTCTGGCCAACAAAAATGACAGGCACACAGGGGTGTCCTTCTCAGGGGTCACTCTCTCTGAGATCTCATTAAATCTTTCTCAGCAGCAAGCGATAATTGGAAATGACTAATGAATATCTTGCAGGAGGGAAGAAAGATCTTTACACTACTGTATTACGTACTACAAATAGGGGCTAGCTGTTGTGGGGAATTTTCAACTGGTGTTCTTTAGTGCAGTCACTTTTGAAAGAAACAAGGGGAGCTCTTCAGTTGTTTCTGTCTAATTTGTGTTTTACAGTGCTGCATAGTCTGGACTTTGCTCTGGACAAAACCTGGACTAGCCTGTGACGTACCGCAGGCTGGGAGAGTAATGATTTGTTTCTTAAATATTATTGCAAAAGTCAACAAATCATTTCTGGAGTAATAAAAGAGAAGGTTGGAAGCAGAGATTAGTTATTGCAGCAGATTTTCCAGGACCTAATAAATGTGGTTTCAGAACAGAATAACTTGCTCTTCATTTCCTGGCCCACTGAAAATATTGTAACATCCCATCTGATTTCCTCTTCATATTTCCTTCACCGGTCTTCTGGCATCTGACAGAAGAAACAGTGTGGAGCAAAATATCTACTTGAGCTGTGCTACACAGGGAGGTGAGTTTTTGAGCAGAGCCTTTAAATAACTATGGTGTTCTTAGAAGAAAGTATGAAAATATGTGGGAAGTGCTATTTATGTACCACAGATTGGGAGCACAATGTTTCATTCCTTAAATGTTACTGCAAAAGTCAGCAAAAAATTGCTAGAGTAATAGTGTAGAAAGCTGGGAGAAGACTGACTCGCCCTGGTCACAGGGAACGAGGACTTTTGGGCATCTGTGCTGTCAATGCTATTCCAGCAGATTGCAGGAGCAGTTGAATTTCTCAGCTAAGTGGGAAGGGGGTGCTCACCAACATCTCTTTTTCAGAACATGCCTAGGAAATGAAGGGGATCCTGCATGGGCCTGAACAGCACTCTACAGATAGGGTCTGGATGGCTGCTGCTCGTCTTTTTCTCCTGACAGGTACAGTAATCCTGCTCAGGATTAATCACATGGATGATGCTGCCAGCAGACTCTGGGCATCCCACAGCCCAGAGAGTGTCTGATGGTGTCCTGATTTGTGCACATGCAGCTTATCCCTACAGGAGCCCACTTTCCTCATGTTCTGCCCCAGAGCAGCAGTTGTTCTTATTCTGTCCCTTTCCCTTCAGCCATTATGGGGGTCCCTGAAGTACAGTGGCCAGAGCCCTGCAAGTCTGGACACAATTCATACCCTTTCCTGGGATGCTCTCTCAGACTGGGCTGCAGATGAGTCCGTACAAATAAGAAAATAAATCAAGGAGTGAAATGTCAGGTGTTGATGGCATCACAACTGTCATTCGTCTTTGGAGGTGAAAAGGCTTGTGGTTTTGTCAATATTCACTTCTTTCTCTCCAGGGTGTCTTCTGTATTTCTTCATAGTCTTTTTCTAGTTTTACTTTGGTCACTGTAAAATAGGAGTTGTGCAGTTGCTCCTTGGTGTCCTGGGAAATGCACAAAGTTACTGACAGAACCAAGTCCTGCAGTAATGATTCAGGCCCTGAGTTCAGCATGCTAAGCTGTGTGTCGTGAACACCCTCATCATCCTTTCACTCCAACACAAATCCCAGCAAAACAATAACTAATTCTATGCTGGTTTTTGTATTCCTTTCTTTCACTTCTCTTCAAGAGCAATGCAGGGTACAGAGATAATTCGTGCCTTTAAAATGCACCCTGCAGAACTGGGGTCACTTCCAGTGCACTGGGCTGTTGAGGAAAACTCAAACTCTTCCCAAATAAAAAAGACGGAATTAACATCTAGCTCCTGCCAAATCTATCAACTTTCTCTCATCTTTGGATGAGAAAATCTAGCACCCAAACTGTTACCAGACCACATGGATGCTAGAGCTGAACTATGTATTGAGTCCTATTTGACATGTCTTGAGGATTTTCTTTTCTTTTGCAGAGTTAAACTTGTCTTTTTACTGTTAGTGTGGGCAATCTCAATTAAATTTCAAAGGTAGCAGAAATGAGAAATAGAATAAACTTTAAAAATGTTTAATCATAATGCAGGGAGGTACTCAAATGGGGATGTAGAGCAGCTTTTTCTTTGGAAGCGATGCTTAATTTCCCTTTTTTACTCTCTTTCCCAATGCAGTTTGCTTACAGAAGCATGCTCTGCATGGAAAACACCTGGATTTACTGGGAAGGAATGATAAACATGTGTCCAAGTGTGTGTTCTCATCCTCTCACTGATTCAATCTGCATCTCTTCCTCCCCCTGCCTCACCCACACACTGCTTTCTGGTTTTCTTGTTAATTTTAAATAAACTCAGAGAGGGATGAATATTCAATATCTGAAAATGACTGCTAATAATATAGAAATGTATTTATTGCAGTTGTCTTATTGGTTAGTCTCAATTTTGATGCTCACATGTTGGAAACCATGCATATTTACAGGATGCCAAATAAACTATTTATTAAATTATTAAATCAAAATCAAAGTCCTTGAGATGGACTTTAAAAGTTCAGTGGCACAGTAGTCTCATGGCTTCAGACCTCGTCTGCCATCACATCTCAGTCCTCTTTCCACAAGCAGAATCACATACATGTTAATCAAAGCAAATGAGGTTACAGGATGCAGGTCACTGGTCCTACACCTGCCTGCTGGTAATTTTCCTTGATGTGTGAGAATAACCAGATTTTTTTTTTTTTGGTGATACTTTTTTTTTTCTGGTGATACTTTTTTTCTGGTGATACTGAGAGCGAAAGAAATAAAGTGCTATCTGTGAAGTTGTAATCATGCTTTCATTTGTCAGGAGACGGAAACAGAATTCCTGACATCCCTGATCAGAATGGATTTGGGTTTTGTTTGGCAATTTGTTGTTTTTTGTTGGGTTTTTTTTGCCCCTAGCAGATTTTTCTGATCCAGCCTGCCTGACACTGGGTGATACCATACATCAGCTGTGAGGCAAAGTTTTTCAAAATATTACACTGGTAACACAGGAATGGAGTGGAGCCTGTGATCACTGCAGATTCAATCCTACCTGGAGACAAACTGCAGCACTGCAATGTGGGAATGTGCAGGGAGATTAATCAAGCCCCAGGTGTTCTCGATGGATCATATCCTAATATCATGTCTATATTTCTGTAGGAAAGAAAAAAGTATTTATTCCAGTGATAGGGCATGCCTGACGACTCAGAGCTGGATTTTAGTTGCTTCATTGTCCACTTGCTCCAGTTTGACTCTGTGCTGACTTCACAGCCTGCGGCTTAGTGCAAAGAGAAAAATCAATTCTGTGCCTAGGAAGTAGAAGATTAGGTTCTATAGCTTGCCTGCTCAGAAGGGGCTTTTGATTTCAGTTGTCCTTTGAATTTCACAAGACAATTTGAAGTCATTTAGGATATAAATAGGAGACTTCAAGTTATTACCAGCCCCTGTTTCTGTTATTGTCCATGGATGAATTGTCACTGATTTGAGTGAGTTGGACTGTTGTATTTTGAGCATGGGTGAGTCTCCTTCACTTGAACTACAGTAGAGAGAACAATGTTTTACGTATGAAACAGTCTTACCCTGCTTCTGTCTGACCACACTCCTTATTCATAGACATTTGGCTTTGTATTCATATGTTGAATTTATTTCTCATAGTCGGAGCTGGAACATCAAATCTCTGACAGTCATGTAAGAGTGTGAAGTAAAATACACCAATTACCAGACTCGCAAGAAAATGGCACTTCTGGGGCAAAATGTTGTGATCCTGCTTTTCTTTCAGCACCCAGGCCTGTAATGCAACAGGGTGATTCAGTGCACTGCAATTTTCTGTTGTACATGTGTGAATAAATATTTGCAATGCCAGAGGTTTGCATCCAAAAAGGAGACGGGAGGCCTGTAACTATATTCAAATAAAGTGAGAGGCCATGGGGCATTTCCCTCGGAGTCTCTCAAATTGTTGTAGAACACAGCGTCCTTTTAATCATATTTTCCTGGCCGCATCATCCTCTCCCTTTCCCCATTGGCTGAGGTACTTGAGAGATACAGAATTCCCGAATCACCAGCTACGTGACCCCCTAATATGCACTGGCCCCTCCCTGCGCCCCCTCCCCACCCTGTTTTGTATCTCTGTTCTTTAAATTCTGGAATTTTATGTGTCTTTGATTAAGCAATATTCCTTGTCAATTAGTACCATTCCTCTGAATTTTATGGTTCCTTTCTGTTACTATCTTATCTATCGATCTCTGGTTTTACCTACAAGCAGGCTCAAACCGTCTGTAAAGACACACTCATTCCTTTCACAGTTGAGAAACCTCATCCATTTTCTCCTTGTCTGCCTGGTGATGTGGCAGATTGCACGCAAAATGCTAAAGTCATATCTGCTTTGACGAGGTGATTCAAGGAAAATTAGCTATGAATGAATGCCTAGAATTGTTTACTTTGAAAACATCAGGCAGGGTGGCCAGCATTTAAAATGGGAATCATTATGCCAGGTTTCACAGGCATTACAAATGTCTTTCCCTCAAGGCTGGCACAGCTTACACAGGCAAGAAGGGAACACGGATAACTGTGCTCCAACACAAGAAATTAAAAAGGATCAAGGTGCATAAACTCTGGTTTTCCCTGTGATCTAAATCCTGTTTTCTCCCTTGTTATGCTGTGTTGACCTCTCTATAAAGAAGAAAACCCTGTGTGGGTGTATTTTGCCCTTTACCTTCACCCTGCTGAGGTCTGTGGAACCACAGCAGGTCCTTGTAACAATGACCTTCGCAGAAGTGCTCAAACCTTTCTCTCACCTGAACCGTGGTCTCCCTCGCACTTTTGGCAGTGTTGATTCTCAGGCCTTTTATGGTTCTTTCCAGCAGCCTTCAGTCAAGCATCCTCAACGAGGGCCCTCATGTTGTCCCCAGTATCTCCAGCCAGTAACAATGGTACCATGCTACCTAAGTGCTCAGGGGGCTGTTTTAAATGTTATTGTGGTAGTCATTGACACTAACTAACACCATAGATGTGACAAGTGAAGTCACATGCTTAGCAAGGTGTCCGATGTCAGCAAATCCTCCTGTCTCTGCCTATGCATTCTCAGCAGGCAGTAAAAATTGAGACAGTCCACCTCAGGTATGAACCACAGCTTTGTTATTGAGGTGTGATAATGTAACTGTGTGTTTGGGCCCTTGAAGTCTTTAATAAAATTCCTATCGATGCAGCCATAACAGAGACTCGGATGCTGCGGTCTGGGATTTCCCAAAGAGCCTCAGTGCTGTGGGAATGGGAGCACAACCGTGGTCCTACAGGAGAGTGAGGAGATGGGAAGGGGAGCAGGGACCTTCTGCACAAGCTGCAGGATGTTTCTCACCTCTGTCCTCTCCTTACAGTTGGATTCTTTAATGTTCACGTGAACTTCTCTCTTCTCTACAAAGTGGAGACAGCACCTGATTGCTATGATGCAAGGAGGCTTCTTGAACACTGGGTGAGTAGCTTGCTTTTCTCATTCTCATGTGTTTTTAGCAAGTATCGCATGAGGACAGCTGGTAGGATCGTAGAATCTATTCCAAATTTTGGTTGGAATAGAATGGATTGGAAGGGACCTCTATAGGTCACCTGGTCCCACACCCAATGTGCAGGATGCAAACTGTTGGGACAACACAGAAATGATCATCCATGTAAGAGTTGTGGTGTTCCAGAGTCATGTTATTCAATGTATAACAGGACAAATTAAAATTCTGAAGGAAGGGAAAAGCATAAAAATTTTGCAAAAATTCTTAGCCACTTTCAGTAGGATTTAGGATTTTTATGACAATTCTAAATTTACAAGCAGGTCTAGAAAAAGTATTGATATATCATGTTAATAAAAATGTTACGGTTTTCATTCCAGTTTAATATCGTATTTGCTGGAGAAGGATTTGTTGTGGCAGGCTTTAAAGTCAGGTAAGGTTCTGGCTGTGTGTAGTGTCACCTTAACCCTATGTGCTTTGAGCAGTCAAGTTCCAGATACCCATTTCCCAGCTGACCGGTCTGTTTGGGGGTCATAGAGGGGAACAAAGCTCACAGATCCCGGGGACTGGCTAGGATCACACTGGCTCTTGTGTGACAGCATCTAATGAAAGGATGTTATAGTTTGAAAACGCTGCTAGAAACAATGGTTCCTTGCACCAGATTCCCCGGTTTTGTTCCTTTTAGCCTAATCCACCTGTATTCACATCCAATACCCCAGTGGAAAGGGATATTTTAGTAATTTGTAAACATGTCACGTGTGCAGATGCAGAATTTTGTCATTTTATGTCTATTTTGGCTTCCTACTTTCTTCTCTAACTTCCACGGGTACTGCTTGTTTTATATATGACAATACAGTAACACGCTACACTGTTCACATGGGATGAATCTGATCCATAGAACATTACGGGAAGGTTCTTCCCATTTTGAAAGAAACATTTTTTGTTGGCATGCATATCAATTATAGCACTTTGTCCTGGTGACTTCTGTAAATATACTTATGCTGAATTCAAGATGACTTCCGAGCTGTAAAGTCTGGCTTATTTTGGTCACAAGGTTTTTTTCTTAGGTGGTAGCAGAATCGGGCATGTTACAGTTACATGCTGCCGTGAAATAATTGTTCTATTCTCTTTTGTTTCCAGGGATAATTATCCACACCACGGTGCCTATAAGATGACTCACGTATGGAATTAGTTATTTTCTGATACCTCTTATAAACAGCTATATTTTTCTTACCTCTGCATAGAGAATATAGTAGTTGAAGGGTCTAAATGTTGATGCTATTGTGTTTTGTTGAAATTATTTAATTATCCTGATGAACAGTACTGTGAAACAAAGGCTCCTCCCAGGTGTCAGGTCCCAGTAACATTTAAAGCAACAGGCTCTGTTTTAAAGAGCACACTGAGTTTCTGCTAATTGCTTTCCTTAAAAAACCATTTGTGCCCATTGATGCTAACCAGTTTCTAACTTTCTGTGTCCTTCCATGCGAACTGAAGGGGAAGGTAAAGCAGATATCACAAAGGTAAGACCCAGGGTTTGTACTGATTTCAATTCTAGGGGGAGAAGGAATTATATCTGTCCATGGCTCTTTGAGTTTCAGAGTGACCAGAAAAGCGCACATGGAGGTCAGAACCACAGGAATGCTTGACTTGGGGGAAATGTGTTTGGGCATCCAAGGTTTCCTTCTCATACCCCTGATCTTGGGAGTTTCACAGTGCTTCCATGGCAAGCTGTGAGGTTTATGCTTCCTTGTAAGAGCTGGCCCTAAGCAGGGTTCTTCACTAGGGCCAGAACCAATGAGTGGACAGTGCCCAAGAGGGATACTGCACCTCTTCTGTAGGAAATCCTAATTGCCTTCTGACCCCAGGCCAGGAGGAGGAGGAGGTGAATTCCCATCACCTCCAAGGGGCTGTGAATGGTTTAGAAAGACCATGACGAGTGGTGGACAACTGTGTGAATTGAAAAAGCTTGAAAGATCCCACCCCTAAGGAAGTCTCACTCATTAGCCCTCAGTTAAATTACAGGTCCATCCATGGGTTCTTGCATTTTTCTGATGTGCCTGTCAAAGAGACATATAGTCTTTCCAAACCTTCCAGAGTGGAGAAGTGTAATTACTTAGACCAAAAGCTGTTCTGAGGAGAAGTGGAATCTGCCAGAGTACTGAAAGTGGTTGGTTAAATCCTGGTTTTCCAGAGAGCGGTGGAGTCACAGGGGTCACAAGCACCTCACTATTTTATGACTGGCCCTCTCCGAACTTTAAATGCTGGAAAACCCTTACTTGCGACAGGGATGTTCCTTTGCTGAGATGTTATTAGGAAACCTTTAGAGGCATATACTGTGAAACTATAGAGATTTTCGTACCTCTATTCCCAATATTTTCAACTTTAGAAAGCATTTCCTCAATGCTGCACTCACGGTGAGAAAAATACATACATTATCCAATTCGGTGTAATTATCTGGATTACTCCTTAATTTTGTAGCACTTATATTTGTGAAATGTTATCAACATGGCAGCCTTGTTTGTGTATTCTCTTTGTAGCTATGTCTGTAAGGCCACTGTAAAGGCCACATCACTGGAAATACAAGAAGTCCTGAGTCCCAAGATCAAAGAGTTGTTGAATAACACAAAGAGGGACCATTTTCCATGTATGTGAAACCTGAAGATGTGGCTGTGAAGTCGATAGGTAAAACTTCACTGAAACCTCATTGGAAATCACATACTTTACAATTCTGTCTATAAGTGTTTTTTGTCAAATTTATATTCTGTGGAGAGCTTAGGCTGGAAAACATCCTTACAAGTAACCAGACTGACCTCATGGTATGTACAATCTGTAGAGCATCATGCAGTTGACAGTAATAGCAAAAACTTGGGTTCCAGACTAATGGAGACCAGTTCAAACATGAGTCCCAGAGCCCAGGCAGGTCTGAACACCTTTGCAACAAAAGCAGAGTAAAACTGATGCAGCTACAAATCCAGGAGCTCCTGCTGGTGGCAAGTACCCCAGGGAGTCTGAAACCAAACAACCAAACCAAATCTACCTGCCAGAATTTCCTCTGCATATTGGACCTTATTCTCAAACAGCAAATAAGTTACGGTTAATATGTTATGCATATAAGTTGGTTATGGTCTCTGTTCTTCCTTAAAAAATAGGAGTAAGCCAGAGATAAGAGCAAACAGACTATACCTGAGATCCAAAACCCTTTTTATAGCAATAAGATATCAGATGCAGATGATAAAACAAACCTGGAGGAAAGACATTGATGGGTTAATAAGGGGCGATGTAAAGCACTTTCTGATAGATTAGAGAAGCCTGGAGGGTGTTCTGTCATTGAATACATTTTGTGATTTAAACAGGAAATTCTCTACCTGAGAACTGACTCCAAACAAAAGAGAAAAAATTGTAAAAGAGATTAAATATTTAAACAACATGTTTTCTTACAGACAGTAAACATGTAAAATGTTCTTACCCGGTCTGCAAATTAGAACTAATTTCCATCAGGAGACCAGGTCCACAGGACAGCTGGCCTACCTGGGGTTGTGAGGGGGGAGGGGGTTGTCTTGTTTTTTGCTATTGAGTCTTTGTAAAGTGCTTTTATGTATTTCCTCCTCAGCACTAGTGGGTTGTCAAGAAAGCTTTTTCCTCATGAGGTACAAGGGGAATTATTCCTGGCCTGTAACAAGTCCAGCCTCCAAGACAGAGGTCAGCTGCAGGAAAAACCTTCTGCAGTCTGCTCAGAGGAGCTGGTGAGTGATGAAACATCTTGTATTGATTCTTCCATGGAAAACAGGAGGGATCAGCAGGTTTTGTAATGTCAAATCAGATGACGGTCTGCCACAGCACACGACAGTGCCATGCCAAGGAAGATGCAAAGAAATCCAGGGCTGGTCCTGCATGGGCTGCAGAAAAAGGGTGTGGCACAATTCCCATGACCTGCAGGCAGAACTGCTGTCACTGCAGGGACCTGACTTTCTGCTTGGGCAGGAAGGGGAAACCTTGCCCCTTAGCATTTTGTGCCTTCTCTTAATGGTCTTTTCTCCAAAACCTCAAAGTGTGTTTCACATGGCTCTGGCATTTGGGCTCTGCCCCCACTCTGCTGGGGAGTGCTAAGTCAGCTCTGACTTGAAAGTCCATTATAAGTTGGGTTCATAACTTGCATTCTTAGCTACCTGGGTGGGAAATATGAGGAACATTGTGAGTATATATTTTTTTCTTGTAACAATGCACATTGTTTTCATTTTTCAGTGAAATTAGTATTGAACTTGAGCAAGCTTTTTGGAAGAAACCGAATGTGGCTAAATGCAAATTACTGGAAAAACTTCCAAATAATATTCTAGACCTCCAAGATATCAAGCTAACAGAAGGTATGGCAACCAGACACTTCAGAGACACAGTCAATCACAGTAAAAATAGCTGTAGTTAGATAATGCTCAGGTTGCACATCTGAAGAAGCGATAAGGTTGTTTTTGTGCATCCTGTGCATCTTAAAGGTTTTTATTGTTGATGAATTTTACAGGAGCTTCCAAATTCTCTATTGAATCATCTATTCTCAAAGTCTACACTTAGATCTATGGCTGGGTATGTAACCAGTGAATAATATGGCAGGTTTTGCCTGTCTATACGCTCTGTTAGCATATCAAAGCAGTTCACCATATGTCATGGAAAGAAGCACAAATCAGTGTCTGGGGTTGAAAAGTTGGTGCTGTAATTCACGTAAGCTATGAGATTAACTCTACCACCTTTATTTAAGCTCTGCCAAACAGTGCGAGTAGTTGGTGAACAAATGCAATACCAGAGCTTATCCTTATCCTCAGCAGTGCATCAAATAATAGGTCATGGAAAGATATCTGTGGTTGCACATAGACTGCCTGACTCCCAGGGTGTAAAATCTGCTTCTATAAAAACATTATAGAAGGATGATGAGATGATGAATGACAAATACAAAATGCCATTCAGAATTTGCATTTGCTGCTGTACCAGGTAAGCAGCATTAGGGACAGATTGTCTGTAATTTGTAGCTCATAAATTCTTGTAAACAACCAAAGTTAGAACTAAATATTATTTGCAGATAGTCTTTATAAATCCAAAGGCAGGTGATAGTATTATTTTGAAAAGTACATTATTTTCTTCCTTTAAAATACAATGTGGGATATGCAGATTTTACTTAGAAATTCTTGCCATCTCATTGACATGTCGAGGGCTTTTTGATTTATTCTTAGGACATAAGCTTGCAATAGGTCAGGAGCATTCGAGAGAGACATGTAGCTCCATGGCCACACAGATAGCTTTGCCATATAAATCATGTGCACTTCCTTTTTTTTTCCAGAGAATGCTCAAGATGTTGTACAGCATATTTTATACCTCTTGCCTGATGCAACACTGCATGCAGAAGAGCTAGAAATCATTGCAAGTAAAATTTCTGATATTGTAGCGTTTGCAGACCTGAGCGTGACACTTGCAGAGAGTGTATTGTCTATACTAGACTATATTCTGCTGCAAGAAATAGAAGATGAGAACTTTGGAAAAATAACCAATAGGTGAGTAAGATCACTCGCCCAGAAGACACTTCTTAGGCTGAAATGGTACTATGGTGTCATTCATTCAGTCTATTGAAATATCATCACCAGAGCTAGCAAATTCTGTACTTCAATCTTAAACATATTTGAGGCTTTTGCCAGCAGAAATTGGTTATTGTGTTGTCAAAGGTGCCTTTGGCAGAGCCAGTTCTGCAGAAGTCCCCATTCCAGTGTTGTTCCCTATGGGCATCCCAGCCTGGAGGCAGCCCACTGACTGTTCAGCTGCTATCTCCTCTTGCAAGGATCTTTGTGGCTCAGCAGTGAGGGCTGTGGGCAGGTCAGCCTGGAGACACAACTCTATTCCACCCTCTACCCTTGCTGATAAAGACTTTTTAAACACAGCTATTCAATATTAGTCTTCAAAATCTATATTTAGGATGCTGCCTCCATTATGTGATTCTCACACATGCTAAAATCGAGGTTCTTAGCTTTAAAAACACCTCTCTCCTTTGAGGTCTTAAAGGGAAATCTGCTACCTGGTTTTGAATGTCTGAGCAGAGCACTGTCTAGAGCAGTGCAGCTGACCTCAACAAAGACAAATGCAAGGACACAAAGTTTGCCCATTTGGAGCTTTGCTGGACAAGTCCCTGAGCAATAACTTTGCCTTCAGAGCGTATCCTGCCTGAGGTGGTGAAGAGCTGGAGGATGGACTTCCAGAGGTTCCTACCAGACTAAATTGTTCTGTTCTGATATTTCATCTCCTGGTACAATTAGGTGATTGAAAAAAATCCAATTAGCAGATTTTACAAGTTACTGTCTTCCAGATGAAGGGAAATTTTTGACTGGATGTGGATTTTGACTCAGGTGTTCTCAGAACCTCCTTCTGTGGTCCCTGCAGGGAGGGTATCTTCCGCCTGCTAGAGGCCACTGAATCGTGCCAACTCAACAGCTTGCCATCACTTGAGCCTGTGTAGACAAAGTGCCGTCTACCCCAAAATGGACCCATTCTGCTCTGGTGCTTGCTTCTTGTGATCATAAATCAGAGCAAAGGCTTTTAGTCTCTTGGGTGTGCATTATGAAACCAGCAGAACATTTCAAGAGTTGTATTTTTTTTTCTTTCTGTTGCTCTTGTTGAAGTATCCTGAAGATGACTGAGGAGATGGGCTATAAGGTTACCTACACAGAGAGAAATATGTCAGTGATAACCACGTCCTTGGCCCTCCTGGTGCTGTGTCCAGATCCCAGCCTGTTTAGAGGACTGGCCTTTGGCATTGCCTCCTACAACAGAAGTGTGGATCTCAAGGTGAGAGCAAAGTATCACCTCAGGGACCACTGACTAAACTAGACAATTCTCCCACTCTTTTGTCTCATTTTGAATTTGATCTGAGGATGGCACCTCTGAGAATATAATCTCTCTCCTGCAGATCAGTGTACAAGAAAACCCTTTCAGAAAGGCTTTGGCCTCTGTGTTTTTGCCAAAATCCCTGAAGAACTTCCTAGGCATCAAGTACTCTGACCCAGACAAACGTTCAAAGATCCAGTTCAAGTTTTTTGGCACTACTTCATTTTTTCTGGTAACTATGACTCCCAGCAAACCCTAACACAGCAGGAATGGGCTCAGCTGTTCTCAGTGCCTACAAAAGAAATCCCAACATCATCATCTGTTCCGGGCACATTAGCATCAGACTGATAGAGGGATGTGCAGACAAAATGTAGTCAGGCAGAAAACCTTCTCTGAGGCAAGGATGCTCTGAGAGGTGCCTGTAGACTTTAGACTTTATGTCATTTTCTGTTGCTGATGTTATTCTAGTCCTGTTCTGCAGGAAAAGAACATGCCCTAACCTTCTCTTATAGTAAGGATGATGCGTAGTTTGGATGATGCCAAACATCACAAGAATAATTTCAAGACTTGTGTCTCTATTAAAATAATGTAGCAGCATGATGTGCAGTATTTATTACTATTCTAGTACTTTTCTTAAGGACAGGTGGGTATAATTTAGAAAGGGAGACATTTCTTCAAAATGGTAGCTCGTATAGTGTGCTGAACAATGCTTTGCACAATGAAGGAGCATTCACAGTTATGTCTCCTGTCTAATGAGCTTAGTGGTGTACAACCAAGTGTTTAAATGTACTGAAAAGATGACATGCTTTCTCAATCCAACTGGTGCATCTGAAACTCAGTTCCGCTTCAGCTGATGTCGACACTGTCCCTGAGCTGCAGCTAACTATGTTTTTTAGTGACGTAGCAAGTAGCTAAATTACATTGGTCATCCCATGGACTTCAGCTGATCACCATATCCAAGGAATACAGATTAAAAAAAAAAAATGAGAGCAGGGCAGAGCTTGGATTCATTTTGCATGTGTGTGCTTTCCCCCTGCAGGATGACAGTTTAACGCTGGAGAGGTTGAACACTTACGTTGTGAGTGCCAGCATTGAAAATGCATCAATTCAGAACCTTAACGAGCCTGTGACTGTCACTCTCCACCACATAGACCAGAACAGGGTAGGATGTGTTCATTTCATCGGGGATGGGGTGAGACAAAGCTGACTTCACTTACCCTTTCAATAAACTGGGAACAGGACAAATAGACTTAAAACACCTTGCTGCCTGACCTCTCCATGATACATGGACCCAAACATTGACTGACCACACAGATCTCAGTATTTAATAATTCCTGCAGGTCACTAAAGTTTGTGTCTCCACTCTAAATCCATACTTAGCGACAGGGGACATTCTTATCGTCTTCTTGATCCTTGTTCTGATCTAGGCAATTTTATTTCAAAGAATAGTTTATTTGCCAGAAAATAGTGGGGTTTGGATTGGACTGAAATTATTTATCCATGATCAGAATTTGGAAATTAGGTCGAGTCACCAAAAGAGAGGAACTTCAAAAAAACCCAAAACCTTGCAAAGATGTTTTCATAATCAAATTGCTTTGTTTTGTTTAAGTCTATTTTAAAATTAAGTTTAGACTTTAACTTTAGTTTAAAGTCTAAATAGTCTTAAAGTCTAAATAGACTTTAAGTTAAAGTCTATTTTTAAATGGGCATGGGCATCAAACTTCTTGATTGAATTCCTCTTTAGCATTTTTGTGCTGCCAATGTTTAAGGTCCAGCCTCCACGTGAGTATATTACAAACCCGAGGCAGAAGAAAATTATTCAATAAGATGAACTTAGATAAAGTTTGAGTTAATGAGGACTCGTAATTGCTGCTTTTGTGGCAAAATGCTCTTTCCATTCATGAAATATATACCCAGAAATTTTGCCCAGATATCTCCTCTCTTCTGTCATTTTTACTCTACCAGGCCATCTGGCACCTTTCAGATTTTTTCCTTGACCTTTTAAAATTATCTTAATTAAATATTTAATCAGTTATCATCCCAACCTACATCTTTGGCTCTGTGCCTAATTATATTTGACAGCCTACAAATCACACATCTTAACAGCTTATCTGTTAAGCTGGCTTCCTGTAAACTCTGTGCATTTAAAAAAATTATTAATGGTATAATAATAATAAAAGTAAATGAATCTCTGCCTTGGAAAAGTTTGCTGCAGCATTATGAGTAACAAACTAGAATGTCCCCAAGATAAATCATTGCATTGAATATCCATTTACATCTGTTCAGCTCTCATTTGTCTTCCCTGCCTGGTTTCAGAGAGGGGAAATTGCTGAAATTATAAAGTAAGAGTTTTTTCTTGTAGGGTTTGTATTTTGGTTTTGTTTTTGTTTTTTTTTTTTTCAAATGTATAAAATATCAGGTTGTTATTGCAGGTCTTAGTAATAACTTTTGAATTTCACCAGTAATTTGGTGTGACATCTCAGGCACCACATGAACCCAATGAGATTACACACAGGAATTGGTCTAAGGTGAACAATTTGTCCGATTTGCTGCTGTCCTTAAAAAACCACAAGGTATTGAAAGATATATGTAAAACTGGAAAAATCACTGACTTGCAGGATTTCCCATAGTAAAGGGGAAGGCAAAAATTAGGTCTCTGCTAGTTTAGTGCCATGGGTGAGATGGCCAATATCCTGGCTGGCTTTCCAAGCCCAAGTGTTCGGCTGCCCCATACCTCATGGTGTTTCCACTCACCCACAGACTCCCTGCAGCACCGCACACAAATAATCACAGACACACAAAGTGGGCTTTGCTGCCAAGCAGTGCCAGGGTAATCAAATCTAAGTGCCTTGGTTATACACCACAATTCAAGGTGAGATACTCCATCTGCAAGTATCAGACTGCATATGTCCTGAAGAAATGACACAGCCTCCTTTCTTCTGTTTCCAGGGCAATGCAGCAGTGCACTGCGTCTTTTGGGACTTTGGGAAAAACAGTGTTACTTGTCGAGCTGGCTCTGTCCCCAGCATCAAACCATGGCTTTGGTGTCTTGACATTGCACCTTGAAACTTGAGTTTGTGCTGTTGCTTTGTGTTGATTTCAACACCTCAGTACTCAGTGTTATTCCCAGAGACATGGGTATGGCATTGTGCAGTGCTGCATCTACATTAATAAGAAGACTTTGCCAAAGAAAAGGGTAGAAATGCAATGAAATGTCAGATGAACTCTTACCATGACTTCACAGATTACAGTAGAGGCTTTGCTGAGGTCAGGTGTTCAAAATGGGTCAGACAGTCACCACATAGAGATAACTGTGAATTGGGTTAACTCAGAGCATGTGGGAGAGGTTTCCTCTGCAATTACTAGGGGTAGAAATTATTTGCTTCTTTTTGATCGGGATCTTAGCTTCTGAATATGTGACACAGACCGCATAAATAGGGTCATAACATTCAGTCTTACCAGGGAAGATCCGGCTGTTTCAGTGCTACACTCTGCCTAAACAAACCCTCTGCCCTTTGTATTTCTCATCTTCTGTTTCCACATCCTCCAGCACAATCTCACCCAGCACTAGGTTCTTTATCTTCTTTCTGTGTGTACAGATATGTAAATGACTTTAAATATTTCTTCATGCCACTAAAAGCTTTCATCCCAATTTTGAGATTCCGAGGCAACTACAGAAGCTGTGTTTCAGTGTGAAATCTCACTTGTGTGCTGCTAAATGACCCTCCAATCTGTACTAACTTGAGCTCATCTTCACACACCCTGCATGCTGCAGAGCTATAAATGATGGAGGATGACTAACTCTGCTTAAAAATCCTTTTTCTTTATTACACAGATGGATTGGGTGGTTGGAATACATCGGGATGTGAAATGGAATATACAGATATGAATTATACAATCTGTTTCTGTAACCATCTTACCCATTTTGGAGTCCTACTGGTGAGTACTCCATGAATCATCTCCCAGAAAGTCCTGTGGCACTAAACAAAGTCATTGCTAGCTTTGGAGAAGAGATGGGAGATTTTTATCTATACAAGCTCTTAGATATCTGCAATGTTGCCAAAATCAGCAATAACAAAGAAAACACTTATAATAACTTAATGGTGTAAAGTCCTTTAAATGTCACTTGCTTTGAGGCAGTTGTTTTACAGATGTAGCTGGTACTTTGCAGTGTAACTTAATCAACCTTGATATACGTTGCAAATACTGTGTTAAATTTATTAACTGCCAGCGACAACTAATGACATTACACCTTCTTGAAAGTTTTATCTATGCTCCATCAGAAAGTGAAGTTTAGTATAAATATGGGAGATGTCATTATCTAGTACCTCTTATTTCTCTGTAATACAGAGAAAACTGCCTCTAAAAGCCAAATGTCGAAAGCTGGATTTCGGAAGGTATATTTATTTGAATTATTTGAAGTCAGATCTTAGTGGGTAGTTAACAATAGGTTAGATTAGACAAAAGAAATACAAAATGACAGTTAAATCACAGCTGCAGTTGTGGTAAATAGAACAAAAAGCTCCCCGCTTCCACCTTATTATTGAGACTGACACAAAACTCCACCACTGTTTATCTGAGCTAAGTCAGAGTGTGCAGATCCAAGATGTAGACAGCTCACTCATGGGTTCCTGGAGACTTTTAAAGTAGCTAAATCTGTCTTCTAGTTCAGCATATGTACACTGCTTTGGTAACCTGGGATAGATAAATCTTACATAGGATGACAGCTAAAGGTGAGTACAGCTCTCTTAAGCTTCCTCCTGCTTGTGTGAATCTGCAGTATTGGTACACTCAAGATGTATGATTCTTTCTAAATTTAGCAGACAGTTATTACTGGGACAATGAAAGAAATGTGATTATGGCAAATTATTTGAGATTAAAAATCAAAATACTTTAATAGAATTATCTTGACCAGGCTGGCTAATATAGCTGCAGTTCAGCATGTATCAGTTTTGTGCTTCTAGCACTTTAGCTACAAAGCATTCTTACATATTTTTATAAATAACCACCAATGCAGCATGACCAATGCACCTTGAAATACCAAAAACAAGCAACAACAAAAAATTACTATTTTGGAAAATAATTTTCTTTAATGAGTGAGTTAAGATCTTGGCTGTTTTCATCATATTTTGGCTTGGTGCAGGGCAAATAATTTTGAAAGATTTTTTCTGAGTGGGTGATGACTATGCAGCATATGGCAATGATTTAAATCAGTAGTCACACTGCATTAAAACAGAAAATTTACATTAAAAACAATAAAAATACAGCTAAATTATATACTCTTGAGTATTTTATTAAGTTTTTTTTTTTTTTTTTTTTTTTTTTTTTTTTTTTTTGCAGCATGGTGTTCAAAAGGAGCATTTATTTTCTGTGAAGCTGGAACCTGAAAAACTAGCCAGAATTACTCAAATTGCTTTTCACGCCATATGGCAAAACTCTAAAATAATGCCTTAGAGTACTTTACAGTTTGGAATAACTATGCCATTCTCTTCCTTTAGAACTAGATTTGAACAACAGAAAGCTATCAGAAATAGCTGAAATTCTGCTATCGTAAACAAATTGCAGATGTAATTTGCTATCTGTCCTTCAGATTTTCATTGGGTCTAGACATTGTTATTTTGTGTATTTTTTGAAAATAGTGGTTTTCACCTCCTATTGATCCACTAAAACAGTATTTTAGGCTCCATAAAGAGAGAAGCTGGGCAACTACCTAAAACCTCCAGTAATATAAGGACTGAGGAAAGAACTGTAAGAAATGATGAAACTTCCTGCTGCCACATTCCCCCAGGGAGGCAGAAAAAGGGGAAAAAAGCAGGCTCTCAGTGGAAAGAGAAAATCAAGTAGAATTTCATGCTGCTTTGAGCAGGGTTAGACATGTGTACTGTGGAGAGAGAGAGAGAAGGGAAAAATGAGTCTGTGTTTCCAGATAGTGGGGGGGTTCTAAAGCGTGAAGCATCAGAATGGGCATTCAGGTCTGAATACATGAACTCTTTGGGATGAACAGCATATGAAGTACTGGGAATAAAGAGAATTTTAAGCTTTTGCCAGTTTCTGGAGCTTCTTGCATCTTTGACACATATTGATGTCCTCAAGAGACTTTAATGTGGATTGGGATGTCTGTCTGCTTTCCCTTCTATACCTTAATCATCTCCCAAACCCCAAACCAACTGCTGGGAGCAACTCACAGCTCAAGAATTCAGTCCTGTGGATTATGAGTTGCACAGAGGGATATCAGTTCAGGTCTTTCATCCCAGCATACAAAATGCTCAAGTGACAGAACTACTGAACCTCAGAGTCCACGTTGCCAGCCCAAATTTCAGGGACTGTAAGAGTCGGTTGGGATCTCTGCTGTTGGCCGAGCTTTGGTGCATCAGCCAACATCTAGGGCAATTCAAGGCAAGCAGTGAGCTTCTTTCAGCTCAATTCCAGTTTCAGCTAAACACTTGATGTGTCATTCAGATGCCACCTTTGAGTACACAAGTCAGGTTGAGTGGTTCTCAATGTTTGGTGACACCCTGAATCTCTCATACAGGAAAATGAAACATTTTATGTAAGTATCTGACATTAAGCTGTCACAATCTGCTACAGTTACTGAACTCTGTATTATTTGTAATGCATGGTACTATGCCAGTGTGGGTGGACAACATAATCAGGATTCTCAAAGGTACCTTAATCTGTGAGCAGCCTACGTACTGCGCCTGCACGAAAGGACATATTCTGGTTGATGATGACAAGAGCTGCTCTGCTGAAAGCACTTTCAAAAAGCATAATTGGAATTTTTAACCTATGAATACTCTTTCCATCAGTGACTCCTTCTCCCACCACGCCACAGCAGAGATCTTCCATTTGACAGAAATTGTACCACCTGGTCTTTCACCACCTGATATGTATGGCATGGTTATATTTGAAAGGATTGGGACTGGGGGAGGAAAAATAAGGCTTTTCACGCATAGTACTTAGAGAATTTTTTTTTGAGTAAATGAAACAAGCTTGATTTTGTGTGTCGGCATATGTGCAGCTAAAGGGACTCAGCTATAAGGTTGCTTTTGTGATTTGAGCAGGGTGCCTTATGTCACAGCCCAAGAACAATCCAAAGGAAAAATACTCCAGCAACTGATCTTAATTTTCAAGGCATAAGGCTTCAGTCCTTTGATCCCTTTTCCACTCCCACTATTTAGAAATTAGATCTTGGCTTTCTTAATTTTAGGAGATTTAGCTCAGTGCACCACATTTCTTGTATCTTAGTTTACAGAAAGGTTAATCAAGAGTTCATCAAAGTAAGACGATTAGAGCACATAATGAGATTATTTGAGATTTGACTGTTGACTTATCTAAAGATAAGAAAACCCATATTACTACTAACATGCCTCATTGAGAAAGCATCAGGAAATCAGGAATCTTCACTCAGAAGATTTGACTCATAAGTTGTACCATTCAAAGCCAATACATACATGGGTTATTGCAAGATAACAGGCATCTATCCAGCAACTACCTATAAACTTATTCATACTTTGGCATAAGTTGAAACAGTGGGAATGTTTCAAGAGAAAAAACCTAAGTGTTACGAGGCCTGTGGCCATAAATTTTGGTTTTATATTGCCTTTTGGAAGGTCACTGCATTTCTGTGATAGAAAGGCTAACCAGAGCACGTGGAATCCTCTGACTCTTCCCCCTAGGGGAAGACTATATCATAGAGTTTTCCCCACCTAGGCTGGTAGAGAAGAATTAACCCATGATGCTCTGCAGCACTACTGCCAGTCTACATCAGACTGCCTCCCCTGTTGGCCAGTTGACACTGCCGACCCCATCTGTTCATTCCTCAACCCCCCTACAGGTTGCTGCCCTTTGCCCACCCCTGTGCCCTCTGGTCATTGGTCACTGATCCCATACTCAAGTCCTGCAGACCACATGGTTTTGTCTTTTGTCTCTGGTCCCTTTGGTGTGGTGGATGCAATAAACCCTTGCTGGAATACATCATGCAAAGACCCTTCCCATCTTTCCTCCGCTGAGCTATCTGTGGCATGTGCATGTGCATGAACTTGAAATGGCTGTTCTTGTGGCCTTACTCTGAGCAGCTTCTGAAGGAGATGTTTCAAAGAAGGCTGCAGCATTTCTACCATCCTGCCACACTGCAACAAAAACGTAGTCCATTTCTATAGCTTTGTCAGAAAATACTAACTATATTCTGATATATTTTATCCGCCATTAATGTGTACTGAAGAGTTTTGTGTTAATTTAGTATATTATCTGCTTACCCTTATTTCAGGTTTTCATAATATTCTCATTTTAGAAAATTTTGAAAAACAGCAATAAAGGTTTGCTATGTAATATACAAACCCTAATATTACAGTTCTGATACAATATGATTGTTACTTGACAGACATCTCCAGTAAAAATCCCACCTCATTTCAGCTAATGTATTTAAAGAACTCCGTTTCTCTTTTCCTCCTCCCTCTCTGTTCCACTAGCTGAAAAGCCAATAAAAATATTCTCCTCCTCTCCAGTTCAGAACAAGATCTACGTGCATTTCTCCTAGGCATGTTTTGAGATCCAGGAGGGGGTGAAAGTAGTTAACGTGCAACAGGAATCTGAGTTTCAGACACAAAGCAAGGTTTCCATTGACCCTGCTGACATGCTGCAAGCTAAATATTAAACATTTTTTTTAATCAATTGAAGTCCAGCCTGGGGAGAAGAAACAGTTAAAGAAATGTCTCAATTATACTTGCAATCAGCTAATCAGACTTTGTGTACATCTGTGGATGGTACAGAACTGAAATCAAGCTCTGATAATGAAACCACAAATGAAAAATGGATTGAAGACTCCTTTCCAGGATTAGAAATATTGTGCACAATTTATGTTACATATGGTGTGATCATTTCAGTGGGTCTCCTTGGAAATGCAATACTCATCAAAGTTTTTTTCAAGATTAAATCAATGCAGACGGTTCCCAATATCTTCATCACCAGCCTGGCATTCGGAGACCTGCTGCTTTTGTTAACCTGTGTGCCTATAGATGCAACACGTTACATTGTGGATACCTGGCTCTTCGGAAGAATTGGGTGCAAGCTGCTGTCTTTTATCCAGTTAACATCAGTTGGAGTATCAGTGTTTACCCTGACTGTTCTCAGTGCTGACAGGTGGGTCTGTGCTACTGATTTGCCAGGAGATGCTGCAGGTTTGAAATTAAGAAAATAGCAGATATTATCATCTTGCACAGTCTTAAATGGCACATTGTAATAGACTAAAAATCTCAAACTACCAGTCTCCCATGTAATTTAAAAATGCGTGTTAGTAAAATTGTAGCACTTTTTTTTAAGGGAGTGAAGTGAGGAAAACTCTTTCACTCTTCTGACCTTTTATTAGTTTGAGGTACATTACAAGGGTTTTTCTCAATTGCACAGAAAAAGGAAATGGCTTTTAAGTTGAGAAAAAGACAGTATATTGGTGCTATCTAGTGGTATAGTGAAGTAGTCAAGGAAGATTATTATGAGTGAAAATTCCTTAACCTATGTACTCAGGGAGGCTTTAAAATCCTAGAACATAAAAGACCGACATGGGATAAAAAGCCAAAAGAAAACACAGAACAGAACTAGGGGACAAAGGAATTACTCTCATGATTTGATGGCTAATGTAATTTTCACCTTGAGAAATGCATATATATATTTTTTTTTCCTCTTGTAGTTTTTCTATCTTTTACAGAAATATTTTAGCACAGGGGTCATGAAATTAAACTCAGGTTGCAAGGACAGCCTTGCTAAGAGGGATCAGTGTTCTGACTGCTGTCAGGATGTGCTGAATGTGTTTTCTGTGTACTTCTTTCTTGAATGAACAAAACTAAGGAGATTTCAGTTCAATCAGCAGGAGCATTTAGGAGTAGGGAAAAAAGAGAAATTTAGTATTAAGAGAGAAAAATATCATCTTGTCTGCCAGCAATTGTGCATTGTATGTAACAGCAAACTGTTCATATGTCCAGAATTTTACCAGTGGTACTGTTACTGTACTCCAAAATAATCAGCCAGCACAGGAATGACCACATAGGGTCAAATCAAGGATCCATGTAGACCAATACCAGCCTCCAGCAGTGGTAGTATAAGGACAAGAAAAGACACATAGGAAGAATAAAAACCTCTATCCAACTACATTTTTAACCCTATGCCTTCATATGACACTCAACAGATGTTGTTTCTGTCTATTTAATAACCTCAAAGGATTTCTCTTTTGGATATTTGTTCAGTTTTTCTTGAACTTGCTTAGCAATGACTTTCACTGCCTGTACAAAATAACTCCTTTTATTTCTGCACTGCACACGGCTTCATTTGATGGTGCTGGCTCTTGTGTGGGAAGAGACAGTGATCCCTAATCATGTCTCCAGGCTATTCGTATTGTAATCCATCCTTAGGTTGTGTTTCTTTTAGCTGAGATGTGCAGAGCAGCACATGATAATCAAAAATTGCATTAATCAGGGGTACAGGTAATTGCACAATTGTCTCTTTTGCTCTCCATTTTTTTCCTAATACTACCTAACGTTTTGCTTTTTTGTTGCTGTTTTAGTTTGGGTTTATTTTAGGATTTTTTAACTACTGCTGAAGATAAGCTAATGTTTACACTGAACTACCTATTGTAGCTCCAAGATCTTGCTCCTGTAGGAATGTCAATTAAGAATTCACCATGACTAGATGACCTTTAAAGATCCCTTCCAACCCCAACTCTCCTCTGATTCTATGGTTTAGACACTTGCTTCTGTATTTAAATTTCATGGTAGCTGTTATATAAATACTCTGCACTACATTCTCACAGAGTAACTACATTGTAAACTTACAGAGCAAGCTCAGATCAGTCACAGGCTTAATGCCAGACTGTTGTGTTCCAATATGCTAGAAGAGCTCAAAGTCAATAAAAATGGTATTATTTGATAAATATCAAGCCAGCTTCCAGCTTTCTATTTAAGTTTGCCTAGAGGAGGAAAAGGCCAGATCCTCAGCTTGTGCAAAATAGTACAACTAAGCTTTCTTACCCTCTGGGTCCTTTTTCACCGCCTTTT